GCTACAGACTTGTGTCTTTTTAAATTCATTTCCTATAATTCTTTCAGAAGATAAAGATCGTTTAATTAATCCTCAAGTCGAGGATCAATTGCAACAAGAGTTAATTAATTATCCAATTAATCTTTATTTCTAGGAGAATTATAAAAAAAATCCAATCAACCTTTATTTCTAGAAGAATTATAAAAAAAATGAACTGACCAGTTGAAAACGAATGAATTATTGGACTGATTAATTGAAAACGACTTAATTAATATCGTGCAATTGTTACGAAATTATTTTTTAAAGAAATCGCTCGTCATGAAATTATTTGTTAAAAATTCACTCGCCGTTTCAAAAGAATTCTAAATACATAAATCTAAAGTTCTAATTATTTAAATATGAGAAACCAAATCTAGAATTCTAATTATTTACATCTGAGAGAAACGAGGAAATCGAAGGAACATCGGTTGAGTGATGCATCAAGGTAGCGGTCGATTTTTATCTAAATTTCACTTACAATTTCATTTCTCTACTTCACTTCCCCCATGGCAGTTTTAGCTAGCTTCCGTGTGTCCGAATCCAATTAATCGGAACTTCTTATCTACTCGCTTAGCCTAATCGCGGCCGTTAGCCGCAAAGGACTGCGAATTCATCCACTCGCATCTCTCTGCCCGACATTCACTCTCTCATTTTCTTTATCTCACGCTCTCCTCATCATTCCCTCTTAATATTCTTTCCCTCGCTCATTCTCTCTCTCTCTCTCTCTCTCTCTTTAATCCTTCGTCTCTCGCGACCGCACGCCCTTCGTCCTTTATTTCTCCTTCTACATTTCGTTTTCTAGCAATCGGCATAGGTCTCGTGCTGTTGAACCATCGTCGCATCTCCATTAAGCGTACAAATGAGTAAGTAGTTAAGACCGGAGCCGGAAAGAATCAGTCGGCTATGAGAAACAGTGGATGCTTCTCTTGTTTTCTTCGTTCATCGATGCTATCTGTCATCAGGATTATAGCGTCCTCCAGTTCTTCGAGTTTTAGACCACTCTATTTCAGCTTAGCAGATAACAGATCAGAATGGCCTAAACACTGGCGAATTACAAAAAAATTTTAAAAGGAACAAAAGGTATAAATTTAGCGTGATTAAATATTTTAAATATCTTTCCAATACGATAGAAAATTAGATAATTTTACAATTTTACAATATAATTTCAAAGAGTTGAACAAGTGGATATATTTGCTCATATATTTGCATGATTTTTTGATATGTACAGATATGTATATACTTTTTTTTTTTTTTATTAGAACGCTAATTATTGTAAAAATATACGATAGAGATAGTATTCGAACGAATAATAAGATATCGAATTTAGCGAAACAAAAGAATAATCGAGATTCTATTCGATTCTATTAAATACTCGAAATACTGCATTCGAAAATTTTCAGACGAAATTATGAATATATTTGTGATTCGTTAAATAATATTCCCGATCCAGAAGGATTATATTAAGAATTACATGATATGTTTCTATATTCTACTGTTCCTTCCTATTTACCTCCATCTTTAATTTAAAAATTTACATAGTAAAAAGATACGTTCACTTTTCGAATTCTTTGAAATTATTTTATACGCGCGACATTAGAATACACGATAAAATTATAATATTCAAATCCGTTTTGAAAGCACAAAAAAAAAAAATTCACTCGCACGTATAATCCTGATTTTTCATAATTCGTAGTTTAGCAGACAGCACCGATCTCGATCCTTCGAGTACTTCCAGTTCGTCTCTTGCTGACCGACGTTGTCAGATCGTGTTCAAACATTGATCGATTGGTGATTCACCTTAATTCTCGTGATACAGATCTCGTCGTATAATTAAAAACTCTCTCGTATTATTTATATACTCGATCTCTCGTACACACCTCTATCGTGTTTGCACTCGCATTCATTCAACTACCATCTCTCTCCCGCAGCTATAACCTCTATAACTATATATGCTTTTTATATCTGTAATCTATGGAGACGGCACAAAGCTGAACGGCTAGTAGTAGATACAAATATGTTACATGTATACGAGTATACGATCTCTGACGCTTGCATTTCACTTCGTGTCGCACGTGTTTGTCTGTGACAATTGAAAAAAGAAAAAAACAAAGAGAAAGAGGGGAAAAAACGAAAAAAAAAAAAAAAAAAATTGCTCGCACGAGAGACGAAACGATAGAGAAGATATTCGCTGGTTGTCCCGACACGGCCTTACGTCGAATTTTATTTATTGTCCCCGTAAAAGGCAGTGAAAGCATCTCGGTCTGATTTGTACATAGTGTAAAAATAGTTCAAAAAGATCGTGGAGTTAAAAATTATTTCGTAAAATCGGAGAATGACGTTTTCGTGTTACATCTGCGTACGTTTTTTTTTTTCTGTTTTCTTTTCTCCTATCTCGTTTCTTAAAATCGTCGGGACTCGTATGTATAAAAATTTTGTGCGATTAATTTACATTTGTGCAGTAACTGAGGAAATTTGAAAAAAAAAAAAAACGAAACAAAAACGAAACTATTATCGTTACTGTAGTATAAAATAGGGTTTCAGTCGGTATTTCTGGATGGTTCTCGTCCAATGTTCGATTATTTTCCTATGGTACGATTGGTCTATCCTGATCCTACGAATAACCGGCGTATCAGAAAAAGTTTACAACAATATCTGCTAAGTACACGCTATGGCGATTGTCATTTCGAATGTACGGAGATTTACTATTCGTTTCTAACGTGATAACAACATTCAGTTCGCGTACGAAAAACGCACGTTGAATTAATTTCTCGTCCAGATGGGCGAAGTTACACCGATTTGGATAAATCTTTGATCACGCGCGATGTCAATTTCCTGATAAGTCGATGCAACTATACTGTGACACAAGTATTACGCGCGTATTACAATAAAAATTAGAAGATCGATTTCTAAATTTTGCTTTGAAATTGTCGGTAAAACAGACATAGTTCAAATAAATCGTCAAATTCTGCAGCTGTTTCATTTAATTCCGATACAGAAACAGGTGATCTAAATTTGGATTCGTCTAATATCTCTTTGTCTCCATTCACGAAATTTCGAAATTTATTATTTCCGTCAGTAGCTAAAATAGCAAGGTTCATCACTTGTCAATTCGTATTGCGAATTATTCTCGTAGTTTTATCTTACATATTTGGTACAACTGTATTTTTCGCCAGGTGAAAATCATTTCGAATACTTTCTACGATGTTAAAAGAGACCTTAGGGAAAGCAAACTCGAAAAGATTCGCGTCATATTTCCCTACACTCGTCAACTCTTGAAACGAGCTGCCAAATCGGAATGTTCCCACACGGAAGCTTTCTCGAGACTAACTTTTAAAAAAAATTTCACATTCCCTCACGTCACCATGCGTCGTTTATCAATTCGCGTCTCGTAAATCTGCTTTTATCGTTCGCTATAACTTCTGTGCAATTCACACCGCGCGAGGTGCAGGCAGTCTTGTCGCAATCATTCTTCGTAAAGCGTGCCTCGACTCTTGCCCTATCGTCCGTTCAACGAGTTGAGAAACATTGTAGGAACTAATGCCCCTCGATCGACGGATATCGCAGAATCGGCGAAAGCGATCGCGACGAGAAAAACGCTAATGAGAACGATGAAAACGTAAAGGACCGATGTCCAGGCTAGACACGCGAACGATAAATCTTGAGCGATAAATTCGCTCCGGAGTCATTAATTTCTTCCTAGTTTCCTATTTTACATACTCTTGGTGTGCCGTGCCTTTCTTTCGATATCTTTCAGTTAGGATGAAGAGAAATGCCAGCGTGCAGAACGTCATTTTTTCCCCTCCGTGTCCGAGGCCCGTTGCGATTATCCCAGCCGCGGTTTTTCGCTCCGCGACGCTCACGCATCAACGCAATTTAACCACGCACACGTTAAAACCAGCGAGCAGCACGTAGCGCACGTACAGCGCCCGCATGCATACACGGTGTCCCGTGGTAACGATTTTCCACGAAACGTTTCTCTGCCTTTCGGCCCCGATCAATATTACCTGTGTAATTCACCCTTTGCACGCGTGCACACGGCTGACGTCAATCCAAAGTTAACGGCCGACGAATGGACCGATCGCTCTCCGGTGTCGACGTTGATCAACATCGACAGTGGATTTCGTGGCGGTGGGAAATTTCGCGTCTGCAGGCGTGAAGAAACGAAGCGAGTCTCCTCGTGCGTGTCATCGTTCTAATATAAATTTTGAAATTAAATCCACATTCAAGTGGAACGTTCTTTTCTAAATTAATTTTTCTATTTATTGAGAAAAATTTATTTATATTAAAAATCATTATTGGAATTAACGTAATAAATATTATAAATAATATGTATATATTATTATATATAAATAAATATTGTATATTATATATTAAATAAATATTATAAATAATAAATGTATTTATATATATTATTATATATAATATTCTATAATAATATATATGTATTTATAGAAAAAAATTTATTTAAATTAAAAATAATTACTGAAATTACTATAATAAATATTATATATATATATTATATAAATAAATTATATATTAAATAAATTAATATTAATATTAAATAAATAATATAAAAAATTTATTTAATTATTTTCAATTTAAAAAATTTATTTGAATTAAAAATAATTATTGAAATTAATATAATAAATATTATAAATAATATATATTTATATATATATTATTATATATAAATAAATATTATATATTATATATTAAATAAATATTATAAATATATATATATTATTATATATAATATTATATAATAATATATATGTATTTATAGAAAAAAATTTAATTAAATTGAAAATAATTATTGAAATTAAAATAATAAATAATATATATATATTTATATATAATATTATATATATTGAAAAAAATTTATTTAAATTAAAAATAATTATTGAAATTAACATAACAAATATAATAAATAATATATATATTATTATATATATGTTATAATTAAATAAATTTTTTGATTGGAAATTAAATGTAATGTTACACGACACGTAATTCACTGGTTGGAAAAAATTGGATACTTTTAGAACAATTGACAAATAGCAAGCGCGTTCACATTCTGTGAAGACTGAATTCCATTTGTTCCGTGAAATCGGTACCAAGGAGACACCCGGCTATCCACACGTGACAAAAATTACGTAAAACTCAACAAAAAGAGAAAAAAAAAAAGAAAAATGGAAAAAGAAAAAAGAAGAAATGTTTACACACACACGTACCGCGAGAATAAATCTCCGGTTGCTTTCCTGGCTGTGTATCCATGACTTCTTTTCCCTTTCCAAGTCTCACTCCCGCACTCTCTCTCTCTCTCTCTCTCTCTTTTTCTCTCTTTCTCTCTTTTTCTACGAATCTCATGCTTTCCTATCTTTCTCTCTCTCTCACACACACACACACGCTCGTACAACGTATATTCGCGCTGCAACGAAATTTTGTCCAATTATCCGTCGGATCACGTGTCCACGCCTCGCATCCAGTCAACGATACCATCCCACCCCGTGTCGTCTTGGTTCTACGAGCATCTGTTCCCGCTCGAACTCGAAGAAGCACGCGGTAGAAACGCGTAGATCAGACGGATCAGAAGGCACGAGTTCTATCCGCGAGTGACGGATGACTCGATGACCACGCTAATAGATCTACGTGCGACGTGTCAACGATCTGCAGGAACAACTGTTTCAGCTGGTACACGCACCACGTGACGTTTGCTTGCTGACGTGGAGCTGCTTGTCAGGGGAGGGGGGAGGGCCCGATCGGTAAAAACTCGCCGATCCGTTTTCGGTGGAAGTGAAAGGGTGTGTTTCTGGGGAGAGTTGCGTGGCACGCAACGAGATGTTCGCCGGTAACACGCGACCGATGTGAGTAGGAACGAAGCGACGCATCGCGTCGTCACGTCTCCGGGGAGGGAGGGGGGCGGTGAGGGCACCACCGCACCGGTTCACCCTGCGGGCTCTGGTCCAGGCCTGCCTCTGTCAAAACGACCAACAACCAAATGCAGATGGTTAGTTTTGCGAAAATTGTCTTTCGCTAGTTCGGAGGCAGCGAACCTTTTTCCTTCCCCCACCATTCGCTCAATCTGCCGGGAAGATTACAAGATTTTGCCCCTGGCGAAAAATTTTCAATCAGACTCATTGGTGTCTACTTTACAAGGAATATTCACATTGTAGAAATGCAAAATGTTATTATTGTGGGTTTGGTTTTATGTTTATGGATTTGGCTTGATGATTGGAGATTTGACTTTAGGTTATACGTATGAGTGTGCGTGACAATGGGATGAGAGTATTGCGCAGTAGTGTGCCTTTGTCCAAGAGCAGAGAAACAAGCGTCTATATATGCGAGTTAAAGTTAAGAGAGTTAAGAGAGTAATACTAACGAGTGAGAGTGTAATTTCAAATGCGAGAGTTGTTATACATATTGTTCTATTTTCTTATATATTATACGTGTTAACTAAAAGTGTGTACTTCATTTAATTAACCCACAATTGGTAGCAGTCTGTGGTTGTTACAGAGTGAGAAATTCACAATTGGTAGCAGAGCGTGGTTAGTCGCAAATAGAGAGAGAAACTCACAATTATATGTGCTTGAAGCAGAATAAATATCAACAAAATAACATAAACTTCCATTTATCGTTCAAAGGAGAAAAGAAAAAAGAAAAATTGTTACGCGGAAATAAGTTGAAATTGTGGAAAAAAGTGTTCGATCAAACTGTTAATTTATGTTTATTAAAAAGTTATTATGTATATTAGTATTTTACGTATGACTTTTTTAACACGCTTTGGCATAGAAGTTATAAGATTTCTATCAGTCGGCGAAATTTCATCCCATGAAGCTCCAATAGCTAATCGGAGTTTTGTGATTTCTTTTCTCGAATTAGGTTTTTCAATTTTGCTCATAAGTTTTCAATGGGATTGAGGTTGGCCACGTCATTGTTTTGCTATTATTTTGCTGTGAAAAGTGTCTGAATATTTTACTACGATGACAACTAGCATTATCACCCTGAAAAATAAAATCCGCGGGGAATCAGAAAATGTTGTAAAATATGAATATTTGTTTCCGAATTGACATTGCTGTACAGAATACATAACTTTCCCAATCACGGATATGTGTTGGAGCTGGGGATGACGCTGGAACATGTGTTTGGCGAAAATCAGACGAAAAGTTTGACGAAGAATGTTTAAATTTCAAACAAAAATATCCTTGGTCATTTATGATTATTTATGATAGCTGTATATCAGCTGAAGGAGTGGGAGATCTTCCCAGTGTTGAGATTTGGTTTGAAGACTCCATTTTATTTTTACAATATACTAATATACATAACAATTTTTATAATATACTAATATACAGAATAATTTTTATAACATACTAATATACATAATAATTTTTTAATAAACAAAAGTTAACAATTTGATCAAAAACTTATTTCCACGTGACATTTTTTGTTTCTTCTTTTTTCCTTTGAACAATAAATGGAAGTTTATGTTATTTTGTTGATATTTATTCTGCTTCAGTTACCCACTAACTTCAACCACATATAATAACATTTTACACTTCTACAATGTGAATATTCCTTGTAAAGTGGACACCAATGAGTCTGATCGAAAACTTTTTGCCAGGGGTTGTGGTTTACACTCTATTCTTTCCCAGCTGCTTCCCTGATCCTCTTTCAATTTTAGCAGTCTAAATAGAGGAGGGGAATCCTATCGATTAGCCCAGCCGATCAAAAAAGTAGGGCTACGACCTGAAGGTCGTCAGTTCGCCACCTCTGTTCCAGCTTGTGCTGCCTTTTCAGAGGGTTGTTCTACGTTTTGTGAAAGTAGTTTTCTTCAAGATGGGATTTCCTACAACGCACGTGACTGACGTATACATCATGCTGACATAATGGACAACTTTCCAAGAAATAATTTTCGACAGTTACCTTTGTGTTATGGTGCGTTTTGATCATAGACTCACCGTGAAGAGTATAATTGAACCAATAAGAGTGAAAAATTGTCGACAATTTAAGTTAATGTAATTTCATAAGGAAAAAGAATAATACAATCTACTTGATCCCATAATAAATATGTATATATTTATTTTGACAGTCCTGAGTCTTTTTTTTTTTTGAAGATGATTTTACATTATTTATATTTACATTATTTTATATTATCTCGTAAAGAGCAATTGGAAGTGCAACGAGCGAGAATTCTTTACATAAGAATATTTATTGGCTGAACGTGTCAATATAAGAATACCAATTGATTGAAAATATGACTCTTCACGACTATACAAGTTCTCCAAATTAACTCTTTTGCAGGTCACATTCACCTTTCTGCACTATAAATTAACCTTTTGCAGATGATATTTACCAATTTGCAAATCAAATTTACCTATCATGGATCAAATTCTCTCTTTTGTAAATCAAGTTTTTTTCTACAAATTTGTTTTCTCAAGCCTCTCACTGTAATAAAAATAAAATCCGATGTAAAGTTGTTATTCCGAAATAAAAAGTTTTAATGCATGTATATAGTAATAAACAAAAAACAATAAACAAAAACTTTACATAAAGTTAAAATACACATTTTATTAAAATAACATAAAATTAAAATACTTGTTTCATTAAAATAACATAAAATTAAAATAAAATTAAAATACTTGTTTCATTAAAATAACATAAAATTAAAATAAAATTAAAATACTTGTTTCATTAAAATAACATAAAATTAAAATACTTGTTTCATTAAAATAACATAAAATTAAAATATTTATTTTATTAAAATAACATACTTATTTAATCCCGAATATATTTATTTATACACATTATGTACATTCATCTACATATAATAATTCGCCCGCCTCTGCGCATGATTTTTTTATATACATATTCATATAATAATTATGACAATTTGTAGGAATGATAGTTGAAACATCCACTAAATTCATGGTCAAAATAAGGATATCTTAAAACATTTCTTGCACAGAATTTAATTTTTGAAGAAACTTCTTCAATGGAGAATATGGTAGTCGAAATAGCAAAATGTCACTTTTGAATCACCCGGCGGATAAATTTTGCCAGCAAAAGGGTAAATATAATCTGCGAAAAGGGCGGAATTTGATTTGCAAATACGATCCGCGAGAAAGTTAATTTAAAATGCAAAACCCATCATACTGACACGAGCGTTGAATCACCTTAAGACCGGTGACGTATGACATATTTCCTATAAGCGTCAACCTCTCGACTTGCGCGTCAGTGATTTTTCAACTGGACAATGCATGTTTCTGTTTTGTTCCGATATAAAAGTCGATGGTCTGACGTGCGTGCGTTTGAACGCTCGTGGAAAATCCTACCTTTAATACGATTCCGTATTTTTCACTTGTGTAATCAAGCCGATCAGTGATTGTGCGGGCAACTGGACGGGTGAACTTGTGGAAGATGATGTGTCGGTTTTTATTTTTTTTATTTTTTTTTTTTTTTGCGAGCCAGATTGGGATCGGAGTGGATGAATAAGTGGATTTGTATGGCGGGATTGTATAAAGTGGATCGGTGATTGGAACGGGAGAGGTGAAGCTGTTTTTTATCGTTTTATGATAGCTGATGGTTTCTATACGCTGGTTTTATTCGCCGATGTTGCCTGGATTGGAAGGATGAAATTGAACAAGATGTTCGTGTGAATGGACAATGGAGGGAATTTTTGATTGCTGAATTCTGAATTTGTTTCTCGCGGTATACATACATGTTTTAGTTTTGTGTGAAGGTTCGAAGAGTTGAAAAGACAGCACTACATATTTTTGTTAAATTTACGTACGTTTAAGATTAGAGTAGAATTACTTACTAGTGTGAAGAATATTTTTGTTATTTAAGTGACTTACCTACACAAACCATTCGTCTTTTTGGCTGGAGGAGATGTCGCTACAAAAACATTTTATCAATTTAATTATATTTCTTGCAATAGCATAAGATTAGAGATTACAATGCAGTATCATAAGTTTCTGCTAAGAGGATGATTTAATGTTGCATGTTCCTTGTTCTATTTTCCTTTATGTTTCAAACAATGAACATGAATTTCAAGCATTTATAAAATACACATGTTAATATAGATACGTAAATACATAATCAAATTCATTAATTAAAATTTCAGCATAAGAAAATAAGCAATATTTTTTTATTATTTCTAGTTAACAATAAAATCTGTATTTTTGGGTTATTTGGGTTATTGAGTATTTGTAAAAATGATTTTTGGGTTACGACCAAAAAAAAAAAAAAA